TAATTTGACGGGAATACCATCTGGACCAATGATTTGGAATGAGATTTCATCACGGCGGATATGAGGTCTGTAGGAGAAATATCTGAAAAATAAAAGTTGTCGTCATTAAATGATATTCCAGGAGTAAAGAAGGAAGACTTTGATGGAGGAATGGAGGAGGAAGCTGACATAAAATGTGAATTTAAATCATCAGGTTTGACTGGAAAGACTGCTGCGGAAGGTGATCTAGAAGAATCACAGAGGGAGAGTTTACGAAGGAGTTGCCATTTGGTTTTGGAATCAGGAGCTGATGAAAGGGCTTCGTGGAAATAGGTGGATTTGGCTCTTCGGATTTTGGTTTGTGTCAGGTTACGGAGCACCCTAAACGCTTGGTAGTCGTCAGCGAGCCTAGTAAGTCTAAAGCGTTTGCGGGCAGCATCACGTCTCTTTTGAAGATCTTTAATTTACTGACACAACCAGGGAGCCGGGGGACGACGAAAGGTCGAGGTTTTAACGGGAGCATGGGCATCGAGGATATTAAGGAGGTTGGAAGTGAAAATGTTAACCATAGAGTCAATACAGAAACAGGAATATATTCCATTCCAATCAAGCGTTTCCAGGTAGGGTAAGATTTTTTCACGAGTGAGGACATCAATATTACGGAAAGTTATGGTTTTAGGTAGGATCGGAGGAGTATGGATATTATATGAAATTTGGATTAGGTCATGAGAGGATAAAAAGGAGACCGGTACTTGTGAGGAGGAAAGGAGGTTCTGAGCGGATAATGTAATGGTCTAACCAAGTATCGGACTTGGGGGTGTGATGAGTGGAAGAAAAAGGAACAATGAAAAGATGAAGAGAGAAAAAATGGTTTTCGAGGTATGATTTATCGCTAGAATCGGAAAGGAAATTAGTGTTTAGGTCTCCGGAAATGATTATTTTGGTATAAAGAGGAACAAAGTTGAAGAGGGATGATTCAAATGACGGATCAAAGGGAACAAGAGGAGTTCTATACACTACAACATAAATGATAGATGTATCAAAGTAAATTTCAGCGATTAGGAACTCTACATGTGGGTGATCGGATGGAGGAGAGCAGTGGAGTATTCGGGTCTTCAGGCATTCGTGAACATACAATGCTACACCTCCGCCAGTCCGGCTCGTCCGGTCGTGGCGGATTAGTGTGTAGTTAGAAAGGGAAACAGATGTAGAAGGGGTGTAAGGCTTGAGCCAGGTTTCGGAAATTGCAATGATATGGTAAAAATTATGGGTAAAGTATTCAAGGAATTCATCATAGTGGGCTGGGAGGGATTTGGAGTTGACGTGACAGGTATTAAGGATGCTAGACATGATTAGGCTTGAGGAAAATAAAGTCAGAATTTGATGAGCAGACGCTGGACCGGATATGATACATTAGATGAAATACTGTAAAAACTGAAATATAAGAAAAAAACCCATTAAAAAGAAAAAGATATGTAAAAGAAATAATCAATAAAAATAAATTAATTAAAAAGTTGCAATAGAAACATAACATGCAATCCTGATTTTCAATTTGAGTCCTGTAAACTATACCAAATTTTTTGTCGGTGTTGAGAAGTAAACAGGGATCGAAGAGTCAACTGAAGACATCTAGATCTTGACTCTGGTCGATAAAGACAACCTGATGACCGTCATCCTTTCGACACCGCAGTCTGCCGCCAGAGAGCTGAGGTAGATACGGTGTCAGTCATTTTCCTGCCAACCGATTTTCCGCGTCGAAAAGTCCCTTTTTACTTTTCCCTTCTGCACCAAGTCGTCTCTCACTGACTGCCTGACGAATTTCGCGATGATAGGCGGTGGTCACGGGTCATCTTTTCTTGCTCTTCGGCGCTGCACAGTGTCTATATCTTCAACATTGAGTTTAATGCCCAGGCCGTCCCAAATACTTGTAACTAGGGCTGCGGGGGTCTCACCTGCTCGAACCGGGATGCCCCGGATCTCGAGCGATCTACTAAGCAGGCTCTGTTCGGCTTTATTCAGCCTTACCTCCAGTTCACCGACTCTAGATTTGAGGGCTTTATTTTCTGAGATTATTTCTTCAAGCTTCTTAGATTGTCCCTCTAAGTGGTTTTCAATTTTAGATAGCCTAGTATTTACTTCGAAGCTCATGTCTCCGTACTTGTCTAGAGCTACTTTAATATTTTTTAATTCCTGATTAAAAAAATTATCTAGCTGCTTTACTGCTGCCGGAATTTCTGATGGTGTAGGCTCAGTGTTGTGACTTTGATCTGGGTTTTCACCACCTGGTGGAATCTTTTTAGGCTGATCACAACTGGCGCATATCCATCCTTTTTATGAGCCTCAAACTCTTTATCACTGAGTTTACCGCACCTACTGTGAAATAATAATTTACATTTAGCACAACATAAAATATTTTTCTCTTCTTGACTGATGATGCTGTTGCATAGCAGGCATTGTGCCATATTGTTATTTAGTAAATAGATCGTACTTACAATAACAAGCCGAGTTGTTTTGATGCGTAATAGCAACAGCAGCAGGGCTTAATCCTCTAGAGCTCAGTTGTTTACCACTATCCCGTAGCTCGTGATAGTATAAAAAACTTCGATACTTTCACTTTTCGATGAGTAGAGAGGAAATATGAAATGTCTGTAATTTCTATTGATAAAAAATATTAAAAAGAAAAAAAAAACGGCAGAAATCAAAGAAATTTAACGAAATAGAACACTTAATAATACAAAGTTATGTTAACTGGTTGCTGTCTCTGGCCAGACTCGATAAAATAAGCTTGATTACTTGCCATTTGGACTAGATTTTCATTATGTAAAATTAATTATTGTAACAACAAATTTTGATCATCCCTTCCCTCCCGGTCAATGGTGTCCCGCTTTACCATTGTTAAAATCTGGTCACCTTTTATAAGGATAAAGAAAAAGATAAACTAAAAGAAGGAATCCAGTGTAGAAAGGATGAAAGAAGAATAGAGACAAAGAAAAAAACACATGTGATAAAGTATAACAATAAAAGAAGTGAAACTTTTACAATGTCTTTATGATAAAAAGACATTTATAGTAACTGAAAATAGAAAAATAAAAAAAAATTGATCAAAAGTACATCAAATAAATATAATCAAACATATTATTGATGGTGGAAAGAGAATTAATTCTAGAGTAATATAGTAATATGACTGTGAAACAAGAAGTAAATAAGATTACATATTTTTTTTTTTTTGTATATCAGGATCTACAGTCTCCACCTTCAACAATAAAATGTTGAAATCACTAATATTTGTAGGTACATACGACCTCTCTACGGCACAAGAAGAAGTGGGAGACCAAAACTAAGATGGTCTGATGGTGTGGTAAGAGATTCAAGGGATGTCCTGGGAATCAGTAGCTAAATGATGGCTGCACATGACAGAAATGACTGGAAGAGGCCAAGACTCGTTATCGAGTTGTAGCGCCGTGATAGTTAATTTGTTAATATGTTTGAAAAGATAAAGGTATAGTAATAACATGTAAATTCCCAGTTCAATTGGGCGAAGAAAATCCAATCATAAAGTAAATCACCATGGAGCCTATTTGTCTCTTTCACCGTCTCAAGTCGAACTCCAAAAACAAACAAAAAAGAAATTCTATAGCAGGATCTACAGTTCACAATAAAATGTTGAAATCACTAATATTTGTAGGTACATAAACACCGGCACTTAAAAAATATTGGAGAGAGCGAAGGTTAAATGCATGGAAGATGAGAAGTGAAATGGAATGCTATTTGTAAATGAGTAGCTCAGTAATCAGTTTATTTACCTGTAATATAGTATGTTTTTTATCTATATAGTTTATTGAAATTGTGTTATTTTATTTTAAGCAAAATATTGGAGGAGGGTAGAAAGTATGTTTAAATAACATTCATACTTAGAAATGAGTATTTTTGATGCAAACATTTCACAAAATATTACTTTAAATAGTTTAGTTGATAATTAACTTTAGTTTATATACATAGTTTTCATTAGGCAACCCTCACTCTTAAGTCACAATTCTATTTATTTCCGTAGAAAAATCGATTCTTGATCTTATACACTTGAAAATTATTCTAAAGACAAAGTTCAATGAAATTAATATGTGTGGCAAATAGGAATGTGATTAATATGTCAAAGAAAATATAGATAAAGTAAAAATTTGGATAAATGGAATATTAAATATCTGGGTTATTGAAGACCAATCTGAATTTTGTTGAAAAAAAATTTGCCTGGGACCTGTTTTTTTTTTCAATAAATGTTAACATTTCAGCACTTTTTTTTTTTCTTTTTTTAACTATATCTTGAAAAATATTTTTTTTATTCAAGAAGACCATTGTATATGAAATTAAAACAAACAAAATTATCTACATTTTATGTCTGTAAAGATTTTCTCTAAGGTCAACTACAGATAAATATTCAGGACACAGTCATTATAGAGATTTTATTGGTGCCGATGTTTCAACCCAAATATGTGGGTCATCATCAGTGCTCGAAACACGCTCTGATGATGACCCTCATGTTTGGGTCGAAACGTCGGCACCAATAAAGTTTTTATAATGACTGCATCCTGAATATTTATCACTCATGATTACTGTAAATGAATAACTAATGATAACAATAATTGGTAATTGGTTGACTGTCGTGGATAATGAAGAGAAGAATAGTTGGGGTGGTCAGTCAAAAAGGAAGGCAAAAATAAATATTATCATTTATTTTTGCCTTCCTTTTTGACTGATCACCCCAACTATTCTTCTCTTCAATGATAATAATAGAGTAATAAAAAATATGAAGAATAATTAACAAAATATTCACCTATAAAATAAAATAATACATAAAAAGAAAGTAAATTAATCTTATAAGCGAAAAATCATAACAATAAAAAAAAAAAAACTTTACATTTGCACTTAAAAAATTTTTAACTATTATAATGTTTAAATATTAATTGAATGATGAAGTACATTATGTAAATCTAAAAAAAAATTGTAATTATTTTATTTATTTCCAGATTTTACTACAGAGTGGCTCCGCAACCAGTTAGATAAAGTAAATAAGGATTATAGTTCATTAAAAGAAGCTCTTATAGCAAAAGATGGAGAGGTAATTTATATAATTATGTATTTAAAAAAATTATGATTTGAACTTAGTTTAGTTTTATAAATGAAAATATTTATTAAGAGAATATTATAGTGGAGTACGTGATGGCTGATAACGTTGGGGAATGGGTCCCAGAGTACCTGGGTCTCATCATTGTGGGTTCAATTCCCATCTGGGTTGGTTAAGTTTAATTTCTTGCCACCCCCGGAAAATAAATTTTGAATCACTTACTCTGCTAAGTATGCAGTGGCAACTTCAAGGTAGCCATCAGGAGTTGGCAAACTGGAATTTGTCAAAACTTGTCGGACTAGTTTTTCCTACAAGTAGATAGATAGAAAGCTTTGTTCCACATGAATTTTACATTTTCTTTCTTAAAAATAAAAATATATAAAACTTACTGGCATGGTATAGAACTTGCCAAATCAAATTAGACATGTTGCCTTGCAAAAGGTCGGTGATTAAAATTATTTTTTTTTATTGTTAGGTATGTATTGAATATAAAAAATCCAAGTTTTCACCCTCAAAAGCCCTCTGATTTCGTTGCAGTGCTCCAAAAACCATTAAAATTTTGAACTTTTTTGGTTTATGCTAAATATCTCCTTTTTAGAGGGACAGATAAAAAATGGTTATATTCAATCTTAAACAGCTTAAAATTATCTAACATTTTTTCTAAAACTAACAGGAAGTGAAATATCGAGCTTTCAAACTTTACCCATTTAGATTTCTTCACAATATTGTTCTTTCAATTTTGAACAGTAGAATTCCTGAATTTCATTTTTAACCTCATTCAGAGAATTTAGAATTTTTTTTTAAGATAATGAGCCATTGACTGGAACAATAGATGGTAGTTGGGAGGCGTTTTGAAAAATTTGTTACACGGTGGGACAGACCCCCCCTACCATGCACTCTCCCCCCACATCTCGATAAATTTCATATAGTTGTGTTCCTTGTAACTATTTATTAAAAAAAAAGCCAGTGTTCCCACAAAAAAACATGGCCACACTGTCCCAAAATGGTGTCCAAACATGATGCATTGACGTCTGACTTAAGTTAGTTTTTTGGTTACTAAGATTCAGTATTTGGCTTAATTTCGTCATAATTGGCCTTTTATTAAAGCTGGATAGTTAGATAAAATTATTCAAAAATAATTGATCTTGCAATAAAAAACACCAGTAAAGTTAATTTTTTCAGGATGTTTGAAATAAAGTTAAAAATCAAGTATCAATTGTAAATTAACGGCTAACAATAATGAAAAACTCACCAAAGTAAATCGTGTGGAGAATAAATTTTTATTTCTAAAACACTGAATTATTTTTAAAATATTCGAAGCAGTTACTTAGAAAATACATTAATCGGCGGAAATGTGGCACTAGCATTGGCTCCGTGAGTCCTCTGCAACACCATTTAGTTTTCACACATAAATGGCCTAGTTATAGTGCTATACTACTGGTTTTAGTACACAATTTTGATTGCATTAACAAACAAATATTAATACTATAATTTAATTGTCCAAAACATTTTTTTTTTCTTTTTACTTCTTATATTCTAGGATTACCCAGGATTATATCCTAGGACATTTAAGACTCTATTGTAAAAATTATGTATTTATAACTTAATTCAGTAATATTTAGCCATTAAACATTTGTTTTTGTATATTTATTGATTAGCTAAATTTTATATAATTTTCAGAAATTAATCTCATCATTGTCTGTTTTATAAACTAAAATATATGTATAATCTGAATGGCATATAATGAATAATTGCCGGACTGTTTAGCGAAAATCGTATATCAGTAATCTGGGTTGGTAATAAGAATATACAAGTAAAAATATGAAAAAAGTGTTTTGGACAATTAAATTATTGTATTAATATTTGTTCGTTAATACAATCAAAATAATGCTCTAAAATGTTATTATAGCACCATAACTAAGCCATTTATGAGTATCTTTTTATATTTTAAGTGTATGGTGAATATAAAAACTCCAAGTTTCCACCTTTCAAAGACTTGTGGGTTCACCACAGTGCTCCAAAACCAACTTAAATTTATTGTTGTTTTTTTCACTAAATATCTCATCTTTTAAGCAATGTAGCTAAGCAATTGTTATATTCAATTTTAACAGTTTAAAATTTGTTAACATTTATTTAAGGAATTTTTTTTCAAACCCGATTGGAAACGACCTACTTAGCTTTTAAAATGAGGGAAGTTTTGAAAATTTGAAAAAAAAATCCATACTTTCTTAATCATAGCTAATTATATGTATAAATAGTTGCCATAACATAAATATGTTTATATTAAATATTAAAATGAACAATATTTACTAAAACTGTTATGGACATTGCAAACTGCTAAAAGTAAATTAATATTTTGAAGTTTCAAAAACATCGTTATCTGTTGTTTTTTTTTACAATTTTATAGTTATTTTAATGAAATGAGTCATAAACAATGACTGTTTATTTAAAAATAACTTTTTTATATTTATTAAAAAAAATAATAATAAAAGTAATATGTAGTAAATTTTGTACGCTTCAATATTCAATTTGAAGATATTTTGCTACGACGCTTATGAAAAAAGATGATCAGCCAAAAATAAAAATATATGCATGCTTTTTACGAGTCTTTGAAAATGTACCCGTTTAGAAAGCTTCATATCTCGTTTCTTGTCGGGTTTAAAAAAAATTTTTCTTACATAAATTTTAGCAAATTTCAACCAGTTTAATATTGAAAATAACCATTTTTTTAGCTATAACGCTTTAAAAATGAGATATTTAGTTAATACAAAAGAAAGTCCAAAATTTCAGTGCTTTTTGGAGCACTGCGGCAAACCCACAAGCCTTTCGAGGGGGAAAACTTGGATTTTTAATATTCACCACACACCTAACAGTATAAAAAAAAAATTTAATTACTCGACCTTTTGCAAGGCAGATCCCATTTTTTTGTGCTAATTTGACTGAGCTAAATCACCTGCCAAGAGTTGCCCCAAAAATTTACTCAATGAAAACAAAACAAATAAAAACATAAAACATCAGAAGGTTGGATAAAATTTTATATACAACATTTTAAAGGGTTATTTCCCGGTAGTTTTCACTTACCATTTTATCACCTTTTTTGAATATTGGGAAAATTAAATCTGAGCACCATTCCTTAGGTATTTCCTCATCAAGCCATACCCTCAGCATCTGATTATATAATCTCTGTCAGAAAAAGTCTCCACTACACTTAATAATACTGTCCTCTCCTGGAGCTCTGTTATTTCTTAATCTTTCTAATGCGTCCTCAAAGAAAGGCGGTTCAATATCAGGATCAACTTTTGTATCTCATTCACAGGCATCATTGATGTTCTCATTGTCATTTTCATTTTCTCTCTTATTTAGTATATCTCTAAAATACTCTGACCATCTATTCATCACTTGCATACCCTCTCCTAACAGTGCACCATCCTTACTACGACAAACATTCATTTTGGCCCTAAAACCGTTTCTCATTTTCCTGACTGCTTGATAAAATTTTCTTTCCTCCTTATGTTCCCGCATTTCTTCTATGTTTTCAATCCTTTTTCTCTGTCATTCCCTCTTTTTCCTTCAACAGATCTTATTAGCTATCTTCCTACAAACCGTATATCTATCTCAGTTATTCTTGGCACCCCGCTGAAGCATCTTCATCCTATCGCCATTCTTTCATTCAATTGCATTTGCACATTCTTCATCAAACCATTCTGAATTTACCCTTCTACTAGTCTTCCAAAACTTACTACTTGCACTATTTCTCTTATAGCAGACCACTCATTTTCAACGTCATCCTTAACATCACGCTGTTGCAGTTTATCTGTCACCTCATCCTCAAAACTCTTCCTTGCTTCATCACACCTGAGATTTTCCACATTCCATTTTTCCTTTCTACTCTGCGCCCTTTCTTAGCATTTGTAATCCTGTACCTAAACAATGCTCTCACTAGAAAGTGATCACTATCACAGTTTGGCCCTCTGTATGCTCCTCTGACATCAATTATGCGGGATGCTTGTCTTGCGGAGATTAGTATGTGACAAATTTGATTCACACTTCCTCCAGGTGCTTTCCATCTGCCAAGATGTATATTTCTGTTCTGAAAACTTGTCCTCTTAATTTTGAGGTCTCTCGATGCTGCAAATTCAGCCAATCAGTGCCCATTTTCATTTATTGTATTGTGCAGTGTATATTTTCCTGCCACATACATCTTTTATGTAATCCTCTTTCTCAATCTGGGCATTCAAATCTCCTAGGGGCATTATATCTAGTGGTTAAATCAAAGATCCTAGCTAATTTATCATAAAACTCATCCTTTCCTTCCCCATTTTATCTTCTGTGGGTGCGTGCATGGAGATAAGAGTTATATTTCTAAATTTTCCCTTGAGCCTTGCCTTGCAGATTCTATTGTCGATAGGTTCATAATCAATTAAGCGTCCTCTGAGTTTCTTACTTATCCTGTTCCAAGAAAACTCTTCCTCTCTTCTGATCCACAATAAATGAGAGAGTAATCCCCATTATCGATAGGTCCTTGTCCCTTCCATCTTATTTCCTTTAACGCTGCCACATCAATATTAAATTTCATCATCTCATCAGCAATTTCTTTTATTTTTCCTGGCTGAAGCATAGTTCTTATGTTTCATGTAGCCAAGGTCAAACATTTCCAGTTATTTGTTTTCCTTTTCCCACCAGGGTCGTTGCCATTATTTCTGTCCATCTTTTCTTTGATCGTAAGTTTTGTAACCAGAAGTTTACAAGATAGGGGGGGTTGTTGCCCCCATGCTAAACCCATACCAGGAAGACTGGACGCTTTGATTTTGGGGTGCCCTCCCCTAGGAAGTTGCCTTCACTTTGACTGTAGAATTATCCCTGCACTTCCTCAGTAGAGAAGCTAACTATGTCTCACGAAGCTGGCATTGACTCCGGTGGAGTTCGTCCGCCACCATTCCTTAGGTGCAAGCCCTGCTGCGAACTTAACTGGATACCGTCTCTGTTAGAATACC